CTCCGAGAGTGTAGTGGGTCACACATGATGTCAAGTGAAAGTCTAGACGTTGTAAACGAATACTAATTACTTGTTTAATTTGTTGGTATTCGTGTCCCTGACCAGCGAATAATAAAGACGTGCTTAAAAACAATAAACAACAAAAAGTGACTGACATAAATTCAAGATGTCTCCAATCATACAGCTGTTACGCGATACAAACGCGGATAATAATCCTCTTCATAACCACAAAATCAGCGGGTGATGACGTCACGGATTTCAGCAAATACGGATATCATCATCACCAAAAGAATGATGCAAGCGAAATTCTGGCAGAAGTTTATTCACACCCTGAATAATTTGATGCGAACGCTGCATTTCGCAAATTAGATCTAGATCAGCGAGCCATGTCTTGACGAGAGCACTGCATCTCATTACGAAAACCAGCTCTTATTTTAGCTATCACTTTTCGCATGCTCCAGTTTTTTACGCTATGTCATGCATGGTCGTTTATAAGATATATATTATGATATTACCTCCATGCAAATAGATAGGGAAAACGCCGGGTAGACTGAGATTGACTGATAAGTAGATATTTATTTATATTTGTAGTTATGAGTGTGTTGCCATAACATGCCTGACTGAATACAAAAAAGGGTGTGCAACCAACATCCGGTACAAGCGGAAGGTGAAGTCACAGGTGCAATAATTTTTCGTATTAGTAATCCTGTGGTTGAGGAATGTAGAAAAAAAACTTCAGCAACACAGACCGCGTGGCAACTACCTTCCCGGCACGATATTGCGGTCGCAAGGGGTGTTGAGCAGACCATAGAGCAATCAGACCATGCATTACGTATCTCACCTTTTTACTCTCTGCCGTGCTGGCGCTCATGCAGCGAGTTTAAGCGTATCCGGAACACTCTTAATTAACTACAATTCGGTTATGTAGATTATGACTTTGGTTGTTGTTTTAAGTGTTCCAATAATTATTTATTGTATTTTGATGTCATCGGCCGCAGGATGGCGCCAGAGTGGATGTCGCCGCTGCTGATCTCGGCGCTGCGGCTGGTCTTCATCGCGACGCTGTCCATCGTCAACTGGGCGGCCCTCTGGCGACTCGCCTGCAGCAGCAGAAGTAAGTCAGGTGAGTTCCACAGCTGGATTTTATGCAACTTCTCGTCTTATTGGGTGCAATTTGTGGTTGTGCCTCGCGGCGATTCTTGAATATGTACCAGTTTGCGTTGCTGAACAATGTTAATCAAAGTGATGCGCTTTATTCATTTACGGGCGACTCGATGGCGACCGCAGCGCTGATTGCTTCCTTCCTCCAGGAGACGGCAGGAAGGCCGAGCGCCTCCTGGTCACCTCCATCATCGTGGTGAGCCTCGTGTACCTGACGGCGGTGTGGGCGCCCTTCACCCTCTCGGCGCTGAAACACGACCTCGCGGACCTCCAGGGCGGCGGCCACTCGGCGGACGACCTCCGCCTCGGCCGCGGCTCCTTCCACGACGCCGTCCGCCACGTGAAGCCCCGGACCGCCGACAGCGGCGAGAGCGGCAGCAGCGACGAGTTCACCGTGGAGTACATCGACCTGAGCAACGGCGAGGTGTACTCGAGCAAGTCGGAGGCGCTGTCGCGGGCCGCGAGGGCGACCACGGGGCTGAAGGCGTTGACCGCCGAGGCGCAGAGCCCTCCGCACGAGGTTCCCGTCGAGCCCTCGTCGGCCAGGCCCACCGCCTCCTTCACCGCCTTCCCCGTCACGACCTCGAGCCTCACGCCCGTCGCCTGGAGCAGCGACGAGCAGGACCTCATCACGTCGTCCTGCGCCTACAGCCTGGCCTTCACCGCCGTGGCCCGACTCGCCATCCTCAGGAGGGTAAGGCGTCCTGCACGTCATGGAGGCAGTGTGCGTGTGGTCGTGTTACAAGTACAAAAATATGCATTTGCTCTATAATCTCATAGTAGTAGAAATGTAAAATATCCTTCAAAAATCATGATCTTGATTTTACCTCTGCAGCCACTCCTTCACCCGCGGGGCTCATGGGGCGTGGGCGCAGGGGCGGGGGTGCTGGTGGGCGTGCCGGCCGCCGTGACGGTGCTGGTTAGAACTCTCGGGGGCACCACGCCCCACTTCGCTCCCCATCAGCCCGAGGTCACCGCCGCGGGCTACTTCCTCTGTAAGTGCTGTGCAGAAAACCGCTTGTCCTTTTGGTGATTTTGGTCAAGATAGGCGAGCAGAATGACAAATGAATCATGGTAAAAGATAAGACTACAGAAATGATACGCATGTAGATTACTCCTGTCCTTTATTGTATTAGTCATTACTGTTCTTTTACTGCATACTTTACGAGAATGACTGACTAAAATATGACAACATTGGCCTTCCAAAGTCCCTTCTCGACGCCTCCTTCCTCTCCCCCCTCAGACAGCATCATCTGCGACGCGCACATCACGCAGGCCTACGTCATCAGCCTCTTCCTGGAGTGGGCGGCGCTGTTCACGCTCCTGCTGGTGATCCTCGCCTTGGTGGTGAGCGTCGCCACCAGGTCATCCAAGGTCATGATGAGGGAGGAGGAGGAGGACCAGCACGAGGATGAAGGTGAGCTCGAGCTGACGAGATGGAGCGCCCTGGGCCATGGAGGAGGCTTTTCCGTACTGTGGGTCTTGGCTCTCTTTGGGCCTGCAGAGTGGAAGGGAATTTACACTTTCTACAGCTGACTTTTTTGCCTTATTTATTGTTTATATGAGGTTCGCTTGCTGCTGTTCATGGTACAGTTCCTATTGTCTATTAAGTGGTCAAGTTGCAGTCTGTCCCAAAGATCAAAACTGCATAATGCAATTGTCTCCTCTTCAGTCTTCTGAGAGATTTTGGAGGCCAATTTTGTAAAGCAATGATTACAAGAAAACTGGCCATGGTAGCATACATTTTTGAGAGCACCAGTAGATTTCGAACAGATAGTTTCCTCATAGAATTATGATGACAGGAGGTTATAGTAAGTAGATATAGTCTACCATAAACGGCTGAACGTGTATTCTGTAACCGTGATCAATATTTTTACTGTCAATGCACTTGAGAAATGACAGTCTACTCGATTTTCAAGACAATTTATTCCTACACGTTTCTCTGTCTTGATTCACGCGCCTTTATCTCACACACTGCGATGCTTCAGGTTTGGGCAGCGTGGAGGGCTGGGCGAGAGACGCGGTGCTGACCATCGGCGCACTTTGGGCGTGGCCGCTCAAGCCCACTCTGGTGCTCATCCTCTACTGCGTTTATGGCCCGGTACGTGATCGTGCATTGCCTTGCTTTAATTGTATTCCATGTAAGTGTAGAATGCATAGCTGTAAGTGGAGGAAAATTTGGTTATAAAAGCAGGTTTGAATATACGTTTTCACCTTTCTAAGATTTTCCCTCTAATATTACTTTTCAGCCCATATCTTTATACATTAACTCCCTCCTCATCAGTGTGTTTAAATCGAAAATTGTTGAAAGGTAACCATCCAATTCGCCCCTTTCTTCCGCAGCACTGGACCAATGTCGTCTGCTGGCTGGCCCACGTGGTCGTGGCCATCCCCGCCGTCTTCATCCCGCTGGCGGTATTCCTCAGTCCCCAGGGCCACAGCCTCAAGGCCGCCGACCTTCCTACAGCCCAGGACCTCGAGGTGCGCAAGGAAAAGGAGGAAAGTCAAAAGGACAAGGCAGTTCCGAAGCAGGAAGACCTGGCGAGGGACTGCGCCGAAGGGAAGGGCTCGCCGACCGAAGCCAAAGGAGAGGAATCCCCTCAGGACTCGGCCGGAGAGGAGGCGCCGGAGCAGCCCGCCGCCCAGGGCACGAGGAAGGCCGGCGAGAGCCCTCGAGACAACCTCAAGTTCTACCTCGGGACGGACATCCTCAAGTACGGCATTCGATCTTCACAGAAGCACGACGACAGAAAGATGATTCTCACGAATGAGTGGGGCCTCCCGAGCATCAGCGAAGTGTGAGGATGGAAAGGGAGGCGATAAGACGAAAATACGATGAATTCTTTATAAGACAGACTGAAAATAGGCAAGCTCCTGGCAGCTGCTATTAACGTGTCTTCCATTATTTAACGACTGAAGCCGTCCTGCCTTTTCACAAAGTCTGATTGTGATATAAGAGCAGAGGATTCCAGGAAGAGTCTTACCGAGTCTTTCATACACCGCTGTGGAGTTGTTCAGCTGCTCTGTGTGCAACAGCCTCAGGCATCGTTCTCCTGATGCATTTTCCTTTATTTAACAGTCGAGTGAACAGCTGTGATGTTTCTAACATGGCAGTTATATATCTATTCCCATATCTATATTTTAGAAGTGTAATGTTATTTATATTTATAGGTTAATTCAGTTGCACACAGCCGTCAACTGTTTGGATGTATAACATCTATATATTTAATTGTTTAAGCAACAGGTCGGTATCTCACGGTGCATATATTGCGGCATTAGTACATGTGTTTGACACATATATGTTGAGATATGGACATTGCGTACATATTTAGACACACATATTACTTACTGCACATATCTGTTAACAATGACACAAGTACTGCAGACATGTGCTAACAATGCTAGACACATGTTGGACGTCGTGCAGTGGAGCCCAACCGTACGTGCACCCGTTTGCACTGCTGCATTAAGGGCAAATTCATATCCAACACGTGAGACACTTTACGCATTCCTGGAGGAGGATCTCTTACGGTCTGTAGATCACTTGTTAATGTCGCCCTTTGTCCTATTTTTCCCTCTGATACTGTCAGCACGATTTTTATATTATCATCGGTCACGTTTCTGATTTTCCCCTTTTTTCTTGTCTTGTTTGTATTCTGAAGACATCTTGATAGGGTGTTCTTACTATGTTGTTATTGAATGTCTCATCCTGAGTAAAATTATCTCATCCCGTTACCACAGTGATTGATATTGTTATATATATACATGTATATTTTCCTGTTTATCTTTTTTACCTTGATTCCTTACGAATGTTCATGTGGTTGATCAGCTAAAACAAA